ATGTACATATAAAAACACTTCTGTTCCAAGTGTATAATAGTATTTAAAACTTTCCATTAATTAACAATTAACTCGCGATCGAGGAAAAAGGAAATACGTCGTCTTAGATACGGTCGGAAGAACAATAAACGGACAAAGTAAACAAGAACGAGTAGCAACATCGAAGACCAGAAAATATTTCTACGAAACAGCCGGTTAACCAGAGTTTATTACCGAAGGTAACGGAATAACAATGATTCATTCTGGAAAATAAGTTTCTGGGTAAAGCGCAGCGTACCGGGAACGAGCGTGTCCAGAGATGAACAAAAGATCAGGCTCCTTTTGAGAAGCGGACAGTCGGTTCACAAAGCGGAGGTGGTTCGGGACACGTGGTTAGGCGAAACGAAGGTTATACACCGTCCACGTGTCGACGTGGTATAGCCCACGTGTCGATGGGACTGGCCCACGCGAATGCGTGCGCTGTTAATCGGAAGACTTAACACGGTTCTTTACGCAAGCGCCAAGTACCAGCGCAAAGCCGTCTTATCGAGTCGCCTCGCATAAGCCGTGCCTAAGAATCGTTTAATCGAGGATCAGCCTGATCTTACTGCCCATAAAACCGAGCGCTCGAGTACGCGGACTAAATGGAAGAGGCTGTTGGTTGACTTCCGACTCCGCTTGGTAATGCACTCCCTGGTGTCGGTGACGCGCGCGGAAATACAACTTCGGAGGGTGGAAGTAAAAGTTGACGGCGAAAAACGCATAAATTGAAAGAATGCAGCCAGGATGCTTCGCGATACTTTAAGAAGCTTCTTCGAGATGACGAATTGCTTATCGCATTTTCATCCTGAATCCGACATGATTTATTTATTTCACTCGCAATCGCCAATTAATTATTATTACTGATAGATTTTAATAATTACAATACATTTGTAGAAAAAATATTTCTTATTTTTTCTGCATGGAAATGTACTCCCCGGTGTCGGTGGTAATGCATGGAAATATAACTCGAGAGGGTGTATGTAAAATTTGATGGCGAAGAACGCATAAATCGAAAGAATGTGAAATGATACTCCAAAACGTTTCAGAATGAACCTTCCTCCACGTTACAAATCCAATAAGAATCCCGTGTATCTCTCTCCTTTCGTCGGAAGACATTCCGGTCGATTGTTTCGCTTCGACTCTCAACCAGTGGAAATTCTTCGGAACTAGCCAATCATCCACCAGTTTTGGTGACTTCCGCACCTCGAAACGCGACGAAACAATAAACTGCGATTGCGTTTCCTAGAAAGTTTACTTTCAACATTTAAATTCGCGCCGTGAACACGAAGGAGCATCTGAAATCCGAGGAAAAGAGAGGAATCCCCCGTCAGGATCGCAGAAACGGTCGCGCGAGTCGATATTGACGGATCGTTCGACGAAAATGGAGCACGCGCTCGCCTAATCACGGTTCGGCACCGGTATAGGTGTATCTGCAAACAATAAATAAGCAACGATAACGGGAGAGTAATGACAACGAGTGCAATCTTATCAAAGGCACGCCGGTGTCTCGAATTTTATTTTCCAATCAGCGCTAGTGATTCTATTATACGCACGATCGCCGCACGCACACATGCGCACGTTGCATACGGTATTCAGTGCGACATTAACGTTTCGTGTCACGTTTCTTAATTTAATAAGAAAGGACGAATGGAGAGGACGCATTCATAGAATTTTCTTATAAATTACAGTGTTTGCGGAAATCCTATTATCTCTTGAGAGATTTCAGTTGTCTTCTCTGAGCAGTGATGCTCACGAGACGAGGCGAGATCTCGTCGATTTATAGAATTGAAATCAAAATTTAAAAATGTGGAATCGTTCTCGGAATATATCACTAAAGAATCGAATACGAATACTTGTAATACACTATTTCTGAACGGTAACTGAAATTGAACTTTTCGTTTGACTAACTAAAAAGAAGACGTTCCCTTGAATATCTATCGATTTCCTTTATTTTCTGTTTCGATTGAATCTACAAGTTATCTCGATACTCGAAACAATCCGATGGTTCATTTTCAGAAAATGCCGTTCGCAAAATACAGCAAACGAGGATCGATCAGATTCCTCGAAGAGTTCAAACACTTTAAACTGTTTCTTATTATTTCCGCGTACGTGTGTACTTTTCATTCCGCGATTCAGTGATTGACGGCGAGGGAACTGAAAGAGCATCGGGACAGTCATCGTGAATGGAAATCTTGTGAAACTCTCTACACTTCTGCGAACAGAAAATCCATTCACACATTCGTGTCCATTCGAACAACAAGGGGACAGTCTGTCACTTATCGAGGCGCCGTCCTAACGCGTCTATTACTTGTTTGCAAATATTACCTTCGTAGTTTAGAACATTTTCCTGACGACGTTTCTGCATCGCATCGGCCGGCTCACGTTTCGCTCGTCTTTCCCCGGGTTTGTAGCTTCCTTATAAAACTTCGCAGAGGTACTCCATCGTTTCACTTCAGCACAACTTCGAAGTCACGCGAGTAACTGATTCCTTTTCATTATCATTAACAAATTCGCACTTTCTTAAATTACAGGCGCTGGCATGTAACAGTTGACATAGAATTACGTAATTTAGACGGATTGTTCAATTTCGATTGACGTAACTTGAATGTAACGTAGACATAACATAGATATAACGTAGACGTAATGTAAATATACCATTGAAATTAATTGTTTCCTTATTACTACTATTAATCATAATTACTCAAATTAAACATAAAATGAATGAAACCACAATTTTCCATGTCCCTCCAAAAAAAAAAAAAATCATTAAAAAATAATTACAAAAAGACTTTCCACGCGCTATTATTTCTCAAAGTTCTCATTGACAAATGAACACAAGAATGAATACCGGTGTGATTGCATTAATTTACCCAAGATGTGTTATTTTTCTGACGTACTAGAACAAAAAAAAAAAAAAAACGAAAAGAAATAGAATGTCTCAGCCATCCAACGCAACGAGACGAAGATTAAGCGAAAACGAAATATTCAGATTAGTTTGGCGAGTCGGCGTCGTTATTTCCGCGATACGGCCAGACGAAATGTGTAAAAATACACGATCTGCAGATAACTCGGTACCAGCGGTCAGCGACGGACGCGAAAAGTTTGAGCGCCACTGGGACGGCCACACATGCAGTATTATTGTTGCAGAGTGGGTCTCTCGTCTCAGAAGACGAGCTGTTGTTGTAAAGGCGCGAATGTTATTGCAGCGGAAAGTTGTGGTGTCACAAAGCTGCGGTGGGTCCCACGGCATTCCGAATGTTGTGCGGATCGCCTAAAGATATCGTCAATGGCAAATAGGTCCCCGCGTTTGACAAAAACCGCTGACAAATCTGTCTGTAAATTCGCCGCGTGGGACAGCTCACCTGTGATAAGTCGCTACATTCGACATACATCCTTATGGTTATGGGAGCTCAAGTTTCACGGTCAGCCTCCCGAAAGATACTACCCGCGGTCCGAAACTCGCGTTGTTTGTCAGTTTCACTGGGCTTTTATGCGTGTATCTATTACTTCATTTACCCTCGACAGCCACGAACCGTGGTTTCTTCGAAGGCATACGCCACTTGGAGGAATTTTGAAAAAGGGGTCGTTGCACCAACCCGTTCGGACAACTTTTTGCCATTTTTTCAAGAAACAGTACGATAACGATTAACGCTAAATCTACCACTGGTCAAATGTCCATTTTCAAAGGTTTCTGTGTAGTTTTTATATGCGATCGTTTCGTGCATTATTCAATTTCGTATCACGAGAAATATGTTTTGCATTAAATTGAAAAAGTGTCGTTAAGACTAATTATTCAAACACAGTAGAAATAGGTGCAAATGAAAGATTGGTAGGTTTAGTGTTGATGTATTTTATTTTTGATAAGGTGGTCTTTACGATGCCCACGTGGATTTTTGTATTATTTATTTTGAATTGTTTAGCAACTTTGAATCGCAAAAGTTTTTACATTTTCATATCCCTTTTTTTTTTTTATTTACGATTGCTTCGTTCGTTGTTTGGATATATACAGAAGGGACCAAACGATACGAAGTAAGACATAATAATAAGTAGTTCCGAGATATAAAAATGATTAGAGTAACTTAGAAGTGGAAAAGACTGCCATAACTCAGACCTACTTAACAAGAAAGTATACGTATTAATATAGAAGCTGTAGTGAGAATGTAAATCTTTCGGTTGCCTTTGAGTTCTATTGTTATTGAGTGCTATTGCAACTCAGATGAATTTTATACAAGTCGAACTGATATGAAATTAATATCTTCGAAAGCTGTGTAATAGAAGAGGTTTCATTTACAAAATTATTAGCTGCTAAAGTAGTATTCTTTTTCTTTACCTTTTCAAACGATATTTATTAAATAATTAATATATATTTGAAATAACGACACTAAAATTCAAAAGAATTCAAAGAGTGTAATTGTTCGGTTTGGTTTGTGACTTGAAAGAATATATTCAGATTGATGCGTCAGTGGCGAAAATTTCCAGATTTGTTTTGTTATGTTTGGGTTAGGTCTGGGTTAGGTCTACGTCATTTAATGGCCTCAAAGCTAAAGTATTAAAAAATTCCACGTTAAGAATAAAAAGTTATCGAGTTACTCAAACGCTTTGACATCGGAATTCAACGAAATGTTTGAGGTAAGATCCGATTTAATTTACGAACAGTTTAAATAGATATCGCACCAGAAAATAATTAATTTACGCAGGTATGATGGGAGAAAATATCGAGATTGGTGCGTCGGTGGTGAAAATTTCTAGGTTTTCTCGTTGATTCGTTCTACAGTGTGTCAACGAGGGGGATCCCGAGGTAGGGATTCTTGACAAATTTTAAGATTAACGTAAGAATCTCCGAAATCGCTGGTAATAATTCGACGGGCCATTCAGGACCACACAGGATCGAGGATATAACCTTGGAGGGTCCTGACTTCTGAGATGAAGGTATACATATACCTCGTGGCACGTTACGATGAAATAAAACGTGAGCGTACCTGGCATGCCTCCATCCACTTTCGATATCCTCTTGTGGATCCTGCGGGACATCCTCAGTCGAGTCGTTACGTTAATGGGACGGACTATTATTTAATTCCACTAAATTGCCGCCCGGCCCCTGAAACAGGCGTAAAGCGTCTTAAAAATCGCCGCAGGACTTTCTTACTTCTGGATTCTACGAAAAAAAACTGACACAGGCAACAGAATGGAAATGTTGGAAATGTTGGAAATGTCCCATTCGTTTTTTTTTTACCACCGACGATCGTCTACTGTTTCATGAAAATGGCCAAACAATCGGTGCGTTCTACATGCTTCGTTTCTGAAATTATTATTATTATTATTATTAACAAATGATCGCGTCTTTTTTGACAGATCGTTTAGATTTACAAATATAAATTGCCTCGTTGTTGTAGAAATTAATCTTTACAAGAAATAAACTGGACGCATTTTGTAATAATTTATAGCGATATGGAGAAATAAAACTAAAATAGAAAATAAAGGAAATTGACGATGTTGATATTATTACTTGAAAAAATTAGAGTTTCCCTGGAAGTGAACTTGACGCTTTAGAAAAGTGTATAAATCGAGCCTGCCGATATGGAACGAAGTATATATAAAATAAATCGTATATTTTAGAGTTCATATTTTGTACGTTTTATTTTACGCCCGCATATGTTAATTCGTGTATTGAATTGTTATTTTTTATCAACCCGTGAATATAAATGTGTATTTTCCAACAATGAGGTACAGTTTGATTAACTTATACATTCAATTCTTTAATTGTGAAAATTTCATCAAGAATTTCTGAAAAATAATCGTTTTCTTCAATCTGCAAAATATTTTTTAAAGTTTACCGAATTTCTAAAATATGCAGGCATATAACGAACAACAACACAAATAATTACAAGCAACATAAATAACCACATTCAGTCGTCAGTCATCACGTACCAATCATCATTTACCATCACCAACCACCATCATATGTCGTTATTAATCATAAATCTATCGTTATCAATCATCAATCACGATCTGTTATCATCAATTATCGTCATTGTTTGACGTCACGTATCATCAATGGTAATCTGTAATTATCCGTAATCTATAATTACTTAGCATCATCAATCACCAATCGTAATTTGTAATTATCAATAATCCATCTCTATCTGGCATCATCGATTACTAGTCATCGTCTGTTATGATCGTTAGTCAGTCACGATCCGGCATCATCAATCATCAGCCATCAGCAACAACGTCATCATATCCCATAATCCCACCAATCACGATCTCTAATCATCGATCATTTAATCATAATATGGTACAATCTATGCAAAGCGTAGAGCTGATCAACTCTACAAAATAATTGAAATTAACGACGTTGAATGTTGTTATCTAAGATTTGATCAGAATCTTTAATATTTGGATAAATAATTATATTTATCTAAAGCACTGGATAGGCAAAGCAGAGAATAGAGAAACGCTTTGGTATTGCGCAGCGGGGTTATGTGCGGGAGTTGAGTCACGTCGCGGTGTCGCGCGAGAGCAAAAGAAGAGAAGAAAGGAGAAAACATATTAAAGGGATATAAGAGAGCGGACCGCGACCGCAAACTGATTAAATGCGGTCTGGCCAGGTTATGCCGCTGCGCCACAGGGCTCGGTATCGGCCTCGTGTAAGCTGCATACGCGAGCTGAAGGATAACCCGTATGACGTACGCATTTACGGTGTGAAGTATTCTTTACAGATCCACCTGCAGTACTTTGTACCAATTGCCCTTAATTGCCCCTTACGTACATCGAGACTATTTCTGTAACACGCTGCTGGGTCTGGTTTCGTCCAAGAGATCGTCGAACTAATACGTCTACAGAATTTCTCGAGATTTCTTCTAAACGAAACACGACAATCGCACGATTAACCATTCTCATTATTCATAGAAACCTTTTTTCAACCTCAGTCCAGCGTTAGTTTTGTTTTGTCGACGAAATTAAAATTCTTTGCTCGATTATCTGCAAAGGAACAGTACGTCTGGAGGATTTTTCGAGATTTCCTCGTAAAATAGCGCGACGACCCCACGGTTAACAATTTTAATGATTAATAGAGACCTATTCCTGAATTAATTAAACAGAACAGTATTTCAGATGAAACAATGTACTAACGCTAACACTGCAAGCATCGACGTTTACAAATTGAACACTTGTTCGGTAAAAATCGTGTCTACCAGACGAAAGTTGCACGTAAATGATTTAATTAATACGACAGAGTATATAATTGATGATCGTATATTTTGCCCGAGAATATTAAAAGCTATGTAATATACATAATTATACGGTCCACGTTTTTGTGTATGCAGATATTTTAATCGGTCTTCAAGGCTACCCTCGGGAAGGTCAGTATGGTATCAATGGAATTTCGAACCAATGCAGAGAACATAATTGCAATTTGCATTGTAGTCGTCGACTTGAAACACAATTGCATTCTGATTGGCGGATAACTTTTCGTTGGTGACGATTGAATCGGTAACGATTCGATTTTTAGTCCGTCGGACTTTTTATTCGGATAAAGTGGCATTCGTTACTGATAAACTAAATGTTAATCAACATCTGCAAAATACTTTATACTTTCGACTTTGACTCAAACTTTTAGATAGCAACCATACCTTTTCCAGATATACCGTTACAAGATTATTACTGATTACAAATATCCGTTATAAAATGCGTTGGGATACATTTGTTCTTAAATTTGTCGTTAAACTGTTTTAAATATGTTGCAAAAATTCTTAAATATTCTAAATTTGTGGGCTTTAATTTTATTCGTTTAAAGAAAAAAAAAAAATAAAAACAAAATTCGATATTCCGATAGAAAAATTGTTAATGCCATGTCAATTAATTTATTTCTTAACAATCGCATCATCAACCTGTTCAATTTTCTTGTGAAGATAGAATTCCACTCAGCCCGAGAGAAATTTACCACCGTGAACAAGTGTTTGGCGCACTGGCTTAGGTCGTAAAGCGAAGGATTCACGCAATTCAGTCGGTGCACCTTTGTCTGGCGAGGCTGAAGAAGATTTCCAAAACCGTCCAGCGTTTTTGGCTGTAACTGATAAATAAGACAAAGGTCCTGTCGCATTGTTGGATGATTTACACCGTCGCAGTCTGCAGGTATCCCGGTCAGGTATTTTCTCGAAGCCTGCGCCACGGTATCGGTACTTGTCACCTTTTGGAATTAAGTGTCCACCCCAATTCGCCCAACCAAGGCCTCTCTACCCGTTTCTCCTTCGTGCCGACTTTCCGTCCTCAGCAGTAACCGAACTGCTTGTTCCGCTCTTCCTTGGCCAGCACGGAAACGGTGTAACGTGTCTTTAGGTAGCTCGACACCAACGGGGCAAAGATAGTCGAGATAAAAGAAATCGTGTCTCGCAACGATCAAACGCGCCGATCCTCAGGTACGTGCTCCGAAACACTGGCAAGATTCGCTGGGATTATTTGGAAAAGAAATAGAAAATTTTTTATTTAGTTTCTCGATTAGTACAATCAACGAACTGTTTAGCATTGCGCAATCCGCGTTTCTACTAGGAACGAAGATGTGTCTGGACTACGGATTTCACGCGGCGTTTACTTAAAGACGGGCGAATGTTGGGAGAATCGTGTCAATAAGGGTACGGTCTTGAGGAGGTGTCAAATTTTCTCACAGGTTTGCTCCATTCGGGGAAAAATTAGACCGTTCGGGGCGAGATTCGGCGATAAACGGCGGGGACCTTTAACGAGGCAGTGGGAACAGGTTACGTTTTGAAATGAATCTGTAGATAAATCTTAAGTAATGGGGATCATCGATCCTCAAACGGTTCGAAGTATAAATGGAAGTTAATTGAGGATGTCCAAAGTCGCGAGCCAAACATATAATTGGTTTTAACGGAGAGTTAATAATCAAACAAAAGGCTCTTTTGACATTTCTTGTACTTCGAATTCCTTCAGATTTCATTCGATTCTTCATACTTCGATTACCTTATCACTAATTATACAAAGTGTTGAACCAGGCTACCTGAATATGTGTTCCAATTTTAAAAACATCCTACATGCGATTTGAACGTATTTTAATATCAGTTTTAAATTACGTGGCCTGGTTTAGGTGTGACATCCTCTGTATCCTTGTTAAATCGCATTAGCAATCACGTGTCTCGCGCATAAGCAAAACGCAGCTCTGCGAATCCGCGCCCTAGAAAAAAAAAAAAAAAATGAGAAAACTCATTAGTCAGGCATGGTTTAGGCGTGCGGTGTACGCGGCGATACTCAGACGCAAGCATAAGCGAATTGCTCGCTCGCGTAATGTAATTCTCCACCACTGGCAACGCAGTGACGAACTGCGCGAGCGTCAATCCGTCATTCCGGGGGCCATTCCGACCGTTCGCGCGGGCGTCGCTCATAATCGTTCGATTGATAATTAATTATCTCGTCGTTGGGCCCGTTCGCCGTCGATTGGCACGTTTTTTCAGCCAGTGTCTCGTTCTCGCTCGTGCGGGATGAGCAGACTCTCGACGGAGTCTTTCTCCATTTTTTCTTTTCCTTTTTTTTTTTTATTTCTTTTTCGTAAATGGTGCAACCTCGACGTTCATCGAAACGTATCGAAATAACCGTGCCGTTGACTCTCTTGGGAAAATAAACTGGTTGGAATTGCGTAACGTCGTCGCGTCATCCGTAGCGAACAAGGAAGACGGTTTATAGGTGCGTATCATAATTTATATCTCGCGCCCGTCGTCCTCCGTGCGAAATAAAGAATAAGAAACACCGACGGGACGGAGAGAATCGAACGCGAGGTATACGGAATACGCGCTAAACGTGGATGCGTTTACTTCGCGATGGGACTGAATTTCGACGACGATTAGAGAACTAGAGGAAATCGAACGAAATATTTGTATCTTTTCTTAGGGTTCGTTGAATAATTTCTGATAATAGAGACGAAATTCCTCGATTTACTGCTCGATTCCTCGAGAAATTATCAGTAGAATACTTTCAATTTGAGATAAAACACAGGTAAATGTATTTCTAAGCTCAACATTTGAAGTTGAGTAAATGTAAGCTGTCGAAACTCGAGGAAGCTGTGAAACGCGCGTTTGGTCCTTGGTAGGGGTGCATTTAGGTCGCCAGCGTGTGTCTCGGAGGAGGAAAGATTATCGTAGCCTAAGGTAGCCCAGGTAGGGTTGAGAGGATCGTCTACAGGTAAAGATTAGACGGTGAGGCATCGGAGGTTCGCGATGTAAGCAATTAAACTCGTCAGAAATGAACGATTTGAAATAAATGTATTTTTCTCGAGATTCCTTAAAAAATCGACTACGATAATGGAATTGCTATTTCCGTAAAAGAAACTTTTAGATTTCATCCCACCTGAAACAGACAAATCTAAGGGCACATAGACATTCTAAGTATACAGAGAGGTTGAGTAACGCAGGAACGGTGTCAAAAAACTATCAAACGCGCGTTTGGTTTCCACCCTTAGGTCGTTAACATGGGCCCCGGAGAAGGAGAGGAGTATCGTACCCTATGGTACCTGAAGGTAGGGTTGAAAGAGTGATGTCAGGTAAAGACATCGAAGATTTGTGTAATATTATGAGCGACTAAACTCGTCAGAAACAACTACAGAATTTGAAATAAATACCTTTTTCTCAAATTTCATTAAAAAATTGACAAAGGAGTCCCCCGCTTTCATGAAACAAGCTATCAGATTCCGCTACCGATGTGATAACTCCTTCCGAAGGAGTCCACTCCAAGAGAGACACAGAAGAATCTATTTCTAAGCAAACAGAGAAGTTGAGCAATCGAGAACAGTGTCAAGGAGCTGTCAAAGGTTTGGTGCGTGGCACGGCTCGGTGCCCTTAGGTCGGCATCATGCGCCTCGGAGTAGAGGCCATCCTACCCTAAGGTAGCCGAAGGTAGGGTTTGGAAGGGTGTCCGCTGGCGAGGGTTGGATGGTAGCGAAGGTTTTGCTAAGCGAGCGAACGTTAGAAAAAGGGGTAGGAGCTAGAAAGAAGAGAAGGAGGCGTGTAGGGGAGGGGGGTAAAGTAACGGCGATGGAGGGGCAGGCTCGTGCACGCGCGAGTGGAGGGGTGGAAGGTGAGGGGTGGGGGTACGGTCTAGGCAAGCAACGGCAGCAGGGCAGCGGCCAGGTAAGCGAGGAACGAACACTAGTGGGACTGACTCGCGCGCCTCCGAGCCTCCTGACTCGCATAAGCAGCGGTTGTATGTCGTCGTGCTGCGCGTGCAACGGTCGTGTTGTTGCCGCCGTCGCCGCTACGCTTGTGCAGTGACAACTACGCGTACGTGTTGATTGTCAACGGTGAAACGCATTGGCAACAGATTCCCAGGGACCGCCTCTCTTCGCCTCTTCTTCTCTTTTCTCTTCGCCGCCTCCAGCGAAAGAGGAAGAAGGTTCACAGGTTGGTCCTGGTAACCGAGGACACCTAAGGAGGAGTCGCTTGGTTCTTCACCCCTCGGTAGCATCCCGACAAGTCGCTTTGGATGGCTGCCAGCAACCCACAGGGCGACTCGCGACGATGTTGGCGCAACTCCAAGTGCGCCCAGTGGTTTCCAGCTACCTGCGCTGCCCTGAAGCTCTTGCCGTTCCCGTTCACGCTTCCATCGCGCCCAACCAGTGGGAAAGTGCGTCGGGGGTGCGAAAATATTAGGGGATGAACGACCCTGCTCGCAATCTCGTCGAAGCGCGGTGTCTGTCGCGTTGCGTGGCCGTGTGTGTCTCGAGGGAACCTCCGGGGAATAGTGTTGTTCACGTTTACAGAAGTGCGCGGTGTTTAACCGGTTCACGCTGTCGAATACTCGGCCAGTCGTACGAGTTGCTCCGAAAGGGAACGCGCGCGAATCGTATCCCGCGATCCCAGGAAACGGAGTAACATTGTCGCGTAGCGCGTTCAGTGAAGTACACGCGACATTTGACCGGTGATATCGGTGCGAGAAGTAACGGTGAGTGAGAGAAGTGTAACCACGTCGAAATTTCACGACAAGGAGGAAGTCGCTAGATGCAAGGGTTTTAAAAGTAGTTCCAGAAGGCCAGCCCGACGCAATGCGTCGACGCTGCTGACGCAACGCGCCTGGATGCGTCTCACTTTAAGCACGTGAGTGTTTCATTTCATTCCGACCGTGTCGAATTAATCGAAAAGTTTCCCGGGAAACGGCTAGTTTTGCCTCGAGACGATCCGATCGGGTCGTTCGAGGGATTTCTGTTTCGTCGATCGAACCGTACGAAGAGATCCGATTAAGATGATTCGAAGGGGATCCGGTAAAGACACGATCTCGGCTTCTCCGCCACGGTACTCGGACACCTGAATCTTTCTCTCGGTGGTTCGTGGTTTGTACGTGTTTTGTTGAAAATCCACTGTCCTTCGTCAACTACGGTGTGTATCGTTAGTGCTAGACGTGGCTCCGTGGTATCTGCGTGTTTGGTTGAAAATCCACTGTCGTTCGCCACCCACCCTCCCCCTATGTGTATACGGTTGGTGTTAGACGTGGTGTGGTATCGCTGTTGGTGGTAGTGGTCGCGAGTGCGCAAGAGTGGTGAATGATCCTGACTCCGGGCTGACAAAGGTTTTCGTACACGAATACTGGGATGACGTCCGCTTCGGATTACGCGCTCCCTTCACGATCTCCTCAATCCACATCGTCTAACGCGGAACCAAATGTAAGTGTCGCAGCACGCATGTTCAAGCATACTGTTCGGGGTCGGTAGAGATTCCGTGGTCTGTTTCAGGATTTTCGTGAGAGATGTGGGAGGTTGAAACCGCTGGTTGCGTGTATAGATTCTGTGATTAAGTTGTTGTCAAGATTTTCGTAGCGCACGCAGGAGGTTGAAATTTTGGTTAAAACAGTTGCATTTATATTTTGTGATGAACTTTTCCTCGGTCAAGATTTTTATAGTTTCTTGAGTTGAGAAGTGCAAGAAATTGTGTATATACATAGGAACATTATCAGGAACTATATGTTTCATAACAAAATTGTCCTCTGCCAAGATTTTCGTAGAAGATGTAGGAGGTTGAAATTTTTGTTGGAACAGTTGTGTTTATACCGCGTGATAAACTTCTCCTCTATCAAGATTTGTATAGTTTCTTGTTTTGGGAGATGCAAGAGATTATGTATATACATAAAAACATTAGCGGGAACTATACATATATCTCGTAACAAAATTGTCCTCTACCAAGATTTGTATAGTTTTTTTTATTTGAAAGATGCAGGAGGTTGTTCATTTCGAAACATTCGCAGACGCAGTTCTATATACATGTATTCTATGATAAAGTCGTCCTCTATCAAGATTTTCATAGGAAATGTACCTGTTCGTTTCTCTGGTTGTTCTCTGTCAGGATTTGTATAGTTACATGATCTACGAAGTGTAGAAGATTGTACATCTTGACAGGTATAATCGTGCATGTATCCACTACAAAATTATCCTCTGCAAAAATGTTGACAGAATCAGTTGTATGTATATTCCATGATGAAGATTTTCATAAGAGATGTAGAAAGTTATTAATTTTTAAACGTCTATGGAAACGTTTCGTAATGCATTCTACGACAAGGTTATTCCCTGTCGAAATTTTCATAGATGTAGTAGGTTATACATTTCGAAATCTGAAGTGCGTGTACCTCGTTAAAAGTCTTGTTCGAGTTGCGCGCACCTCGATAACGGTACCTGGGCTCGCAGGGGATGTGTTAGGGCCCTGCGTGGTACATTCTGCGAACCGTGCGAAGAAATCTCTGATGTGGAATTAATGTTTCTTGGTACGTGTCGAGAAAATCACGTTATGTAAAACAGGAATTGGTGTTGTATTCGACATTTTACGAGCAATATTACTTGGAATGTTCTATGGAAGGAAGTTTTTAAACGACACTTGCTGGGTACATCAAGTTGTCTCTCGATACTTTCACAAAAGTTGGGTAATGATAGAATCCTAGTACATCCTAGGCAACAAAATCAATCTTGCAAACAGAGTACATTCTGTTGCACGTTAATGCGTTGTATTCTTATCTTCTCACTCTTCTACGTTTTGCTCTTCTATGAACTTGATATTTCTATTACTCGATGTATTTATCGATAATCTCTGATTAAAATATGGAATATATGGGTAGCACTTTATTCATCCAAAAATCAAGCTTCGAAGAATGGTTCCTAGTTAGAATGTTATATTTCTTCGTTTCAACATTTAAATCTATAATGTGAATATAAGTCACACGCGTTGGCTTTACCAATGCATTCGGTTATAGTGACACTTGAATTCTTATTATAACATCTAATTTGATACGATGTTAAATTATAATTTCATGCAATATAAAGTTGGAATGTTAATTTGTTTATTTTGAACGAAACAATTGTATCAAACGTTGAAATTTGTGATGAAAATATATGTCATATACTTCGTAACTGTTTACTCACAATGACACTCGGATTCTTCTCTCAACGTTAAGTTTATGAAACGAAGTTACAATATCGACTTGTTTATTTTAAACGAAGCAAACGTATCTAACTTTGAAATCTTCGATAGGAGAAGCCACTCGAGCATACTTTTTTTTCTAAATTATCTGGCTCTAATACACGTTGATGAGTACTCGACGCACTGTGACATAGTGACACGCGCTCCGCGGTACGAAGGGCGAGCGTAGTTCGCTTTCACGTAACCGACGGCCAATGCGCGGGATCATTCTCAATACTCGGATGGACGCGAGCACTCGACGATAGAATTCCGTCACTTTGGCGGTTATCGAAACCGATGGATTGTCAGCTGGAAAATCAGACGATACGTCGACGATAAGCCGACATATTTTAGATAAGTGAAACGCACAATTAAAATGCTTCCCGGATGAGCCCCGCACGATTAAGCAACTCATCTCTGTTTTACTTTCTTCTCCGTTTCGTTTTTCCATCTCTCGCACGGTGTTCGTATTTCTCTCTCGCCTCGAATCGGAGTCTAATCGATTGGTACAAACTGTTCTTCTGTCGATGATATATTAGAGACACGATAATTTAACTGTTCGCCGTTGCCTAATAAGGCTTCAACTTCGTGCGATTCTAAGTTTTGAGGAACCAGTAAAGTATCATGATTTATTATTTGTTTAGATTGAGATTATGGAAAGGTACCTTTTGTTCGATTATGTTTATTTATCGATAATTTTATAAATGTCGCGAGTTATCAAAAGCGTACCTGAGCACGTTTCAAATGGTATTATCTGATACATTATGCCAAATAACATGTTATTTTGGTTCATAATTGTATTCGTACTTGCGATCACTTTCGAAATAAATTTGTTTTAAATTTTATGCCAAGTAACGTACTACTTGGTTTTCTAACTATTTGAAATAATCGTTTCAAGTAATTGTGAAACAGTTCTTTAACGTTGGATCTGGTTCAATCACAAATACACGACAATTTCGAATTTTGTTATCGAAATAAACGACCTGGGCTGTCTATGTTAAATGGTCGTACAATTATAAGTTTTCTTAAAATACTACAGAATTTTCGATAGTATTAGATGGACACAGAGAAAAATCTCATAAATAATAATATCATTTCGAGGATTACTTTTGTCGTTATATTTGAAAAATTCATTGCTTGAAACAGCTGTCCCTTCGAATGAAATATAATTATTTTTATCTTCAAATAACTGTACCGAAAATAATATTTTAAAAGAAATTACATCGAATAGTTATTTTTTACTCTCATCTCATCTCTCATTTTTACTCTCATTAAAATACGCCCAGATCTGATCAAGAAGAATCAATTATACGTCTACACTTTGCCGAACCAAGAGTTCTCCAATCCCATAAGCGTCAGCTTTGTAGATGACACTTGCATTTTTTATTTTGACATTAGTTTAATAATCTTCGACATTATAAGCAATAAAATTCCACCGAGTTAATGCAATTATCCCTTGGCTTTCGCGATAACGACTGCAGCGGAATATCAACGTGTCCCCGCAGGCTTTGGCCATGTTTTCTAGTAACGGGTGGCCAAATGTTATTTTTACACGTACCGATAACATAATCAGTCTCCACCTCTTACACGTCGATACCATCAAGTCGAACAATTTAGCCTGTAATTACCGTGGGCTCTTTTTACAAATTTTTCAAATAAATCACCGTTGTCTGCAACGCGAGAACGAGAGCTTTTTGGGACCGTGCGTATCAGAAAGTCTCGCGAGTGTTCGATGTATCGCAATCGATACGGAGGAGTCGCGTCATATCGTAGGAATTCTTACAAAATTTCCTGTGTGTACTGATTCGGATGGGGGTTCTTTGAATACGACTAGCTGCGTTGCGAACGCATAAATATTTTAAATCGTGATGGCACGTGTGCTAATATGAATAACAAGTGAACACAAGAAAGATTTTAGCGGTTGGTAGTGATCGATGATGCACTTGGATCCACTATTGACATAGTAAGAATGAACGAGGCATACTTTGAATCATGCCTGTCGATGCTTCTTCATCAATCTTTGTTCCTGCTTGTTGCGACAGATGTGTTCTAATTGGTAAATTGAGAAAGAGGGAGCGGGCTTGTCCGAGGTATATCTTACAAGGTGATTCAAGATATTTTTTTTAATCAAACACAAATACGCATTGTTTATTTACATTCCTCTATGGGGAACATTTTTTTGTACGACTGTAACTGAAATTATGTATCGTACAATCAACAAATGTCTGTGTATTTCGTTGCTTTTGGAAAGTTGAGGGAATTTAATGGGTAGATAAATTTTTTTAAATGGAACCTTTTTATGTTCTTATCTACAATTAGAAAGCATTTGTTTAGACAAATTCGTCGATACATATTGCGCGATAGTTTTTAATCCAAATATCTCGTCACATTGGGGAAGCTTTTAGGGTAACTTATGGAACTCCTCGTGTTATCAGATTTCCAGATTTGCCTCGTTTCACGGTGATCAGTGTATATGAACTTAACGTACATTATATTCAATTCCGATTAAAATTGTTTCTTATCGTTTCCATACGCTTGTTTATTCGAGATTAAACGAATTGAACGCAAGTCGATATCATTCGTCACACACACACCTACACATGTTTACGATTATTCCATGTCGTTGACTCTCAAAAGTGTCTCTTACATTTGCTACT